AAATATGTGTAGAAGACAGCATTGAAAGAGTAAAGAGAATGACACAAAATCTGAAGAGCAGGCAAAACATTATGTTAGAGTGTTCATTTTATCATGGCCAATCGTGAAAAGGGTCAGGGGTCACTGGCTACTAGGATAGCCCATGACTTACACAAAGTTTGTTTTGACTGTACTATGCACGATCGCGACACTTTCCACAGGAGTTTTTGACAAAAACATTGTAAAAGTGCGGGAATGTTTCCTTGGTTCTAGGCAATTTAATAGATTTTTTTTTTATTTTGGTTGGAGTGACTGTATTCATTGTGTTCACATGTGAACACCCAACGCATTCAGGGGTCATTCAGAATAAACTTACATACATTATGTTAATATATTTTATTTCGTGACGTCACCACCAACTATGAATTATTCATATCAACTAGAAACCTGCAGAAAGGGGCAGACTCTCGGGACTAATGTCCCTCGCGTGAAATGTTTTGCATTTTCCATCAAACGGCTTCGGCGTTCGAATGTCTAGAAAACACAATTACATTAGGCCCGAAGACTGTCGACAGTCTATATATAATTGAGTATGATGGTGATGACAATTGTGATGATGAATTAGTAGTTCACATGTACTTGTATGCTGCGAGGAAAACACAAGTTTTAAAAGCTGATGGGATCCTTGATGATATATCAATATTCAAAGGAACAAATTCAAATCATGGTTGAATCTTGCAGGATAAGGCAAAAACGTAATGTGCATTAAATATTTAGTAGAAAGCTAAAAATCACAAAAGGCAAATAGGTATTGAACTTAGAGTTATGGCAAAAAGTTCTTACCTGGATACGATCATTCCTATTATCAGCCACCAGAATATTGCCACAGGTATCAACAGTTACACCAGTTGGTCCATTGAACTCGCCAAAACCAATACCCTTATGTCCAAACTGGTTAAGAAGTTTTCCACTCAGATCAGTCACATATACAACATTGTTACCAGTATCACTGACTATCAGATGTTCTCCATAGAGATCCAAGAAACAACATTTTCTTTTCACTCCTTGTATGAACTGAAATGGTGTCCGTGACAAACATATGCCTTCTGAACTGAACTGAACAATACTTGTAGTATACTTGTTCATATCCAAAGTTAG